AGAGTTCAGATGCAAAAGCCTCTAAGTGCCATCTGAAATTTTCTTCTAAAATTAGCATTTTTATCAGACTCCTACACTCTAAAAAATGCTGGGTTACATATAATCCAGTGCTGGGTTAAATAGGGACAAACCCAGCAATTGGGCTGTTTTGACCCAGCGGTTTGGTTAAATGTTTAACCCAACCTTCTGGGTAGTAACCCAACCGCTGGGTCAAAACAACCCAATTACTGGGTTTGTCCCTATTTTACCCAGCACGGGGTTGTATTTAACCCAGCATTTTTTAGAGTGTATGTTTAGGTTCAGTCATTTTACTTTAATGGCAATGTATAGGTCCTTTTCTATGCCATTAAAGTGAAATAACTTAACAAAAATATAGGAGCCTGATAAAAATGATCATTTTAGAAGAAAATTTCAGACAGCACTTAGAGGCTTTTACGTATGAACTCTTTATATATATAACCTAATTACTATATACATAATTATAACTTTAAACTTTGTATAAGGTAAACAAGTTCATACTGGGATGTGGAATATGACATTTAAACGGTAACTGGGATTATAACAGGGTTGACAGTTTTATTGCTCATTTAATTAGCCTTGTGCTCAAGGTTATAATATTACATGGTGATTATTGGAAAGACAATTTAATGCTGATATTTCTACAAGCATATAGATTTAATAATCAGCTCATACACAATTATACAGGTTTGACAGTTTCATATTTCACTCGTGCTATAAAGGCCATGTAATCAAGATGTTTATTAAGCAGATAATTCTTGATATTTCTACAAATACCCAGTTTTCAAAAATAATTTGTACAAATTCATAGATGAAGATTCAAGAATATCCCCTTAAAGTTGAAAATGTAAGATTAAAAGGAGACACTTAGTTTGTAACATTTTATAAGATACTGGAGTTTTTGATGATGTGTTGTTTTTGAAGAAAAGTGCCTGCAATAACTTACGGAATTTTAATAATTTATGGAATTATGTATTTCATAGAATATTTACATATTAAGTAAGGTTACACCTTGTTCATTAATGTATAACTAAACTGTGCACAGTGTAACTGAACACCAAAGCATGACCCAAATTTGCATATCTGTTAAAGTAAGATATGTGAACATTATTTTATAGTGGTCATAGAGGATGAAGATCTGGATGACGTCATGAACAACAACAATGGACCTCTACCTGTCCCTCTCAGCAACGAGCCATCCTGAGCCTCTCTAGATTCTTAATATTCTGGACCAGCTATTTGTGAAATGCGCCCTTCTGCCACGGGACAGTCGGGACACTTTCAGCAGGAGAAAAGTCAGACACCTCTCCCAGTATCAGATTCACACGAGATCCGCATGCGTTTTAGCTGTAGTTTACTAGTCGCATGGCAGCAGCTGTCAGCCTACAACAGGCCACACAGGTGATTTGTTGTATAGTAGTAGCTTCTTAAACCAGAGCTCTGTGTGTGACACTCGTGCCTCCCAGAGGGAGAAATGTGCATATGTAGGCTGATTAACATATTTCTGACCAAAGGCAAAGACCAGCCACTGTAGATCACTCTGTCCAGGCTTGTGCTGTTATAAAGATGTCTTTCAATTTATTTGTTGAAACATTTGGCAAGAAGAATAGCACAATTTTCTTGTGTTTTACTTTGTCTCTCAAAACTCTGGAAATGTATGCTGCTTCCTAGAGCCATGGTTGTTACCTGTTGTCCACGACAATATATTCAATATTCAAATGTCAACCAAAAATATATTTCCTCTGGTATTTCTCACCTTTTTTTATTAACAGAAACAAGTAGTATCTCTAGGTTAAAAAAATATGCATTTCATAATTGAAGTGGTTTCAGAACAAAACTTCTCTGATCACTTTTATTTAGGAATTTAATTATTTTTTTGTTTTATTTTGTATCTTAAGGCATCTCGTGCTCTGAAGCTGAGTATTACTTTTCTAAAGGCTTAAATGTTTTTATGCCTTATGAAACATTGCACGTTGCATTAGTTATTACTGTGAAAAGCTATGCACTTGCTTGATCACTGCTATGATACATTACTTTTGTTAAAATATGTAACAAGTTTATATTTAGTTGGCTG